CAGCCCCAGGGCTGCTGGGGTCAATTGGGTGGAGGGAGTGGGGGTGAAGCGGGTCTTGATGAGTAGGCATGCACGCAGATATGCACAGGCATATGGGAAGGGGGGGCAGGTGGATGTTCACCAGAACCACACAAATCAGCTGAGGAGCAGCAAAAAACCCCTCTCCCCCTCCCCCAGATGGTCTCCTTGCTCTTCCTCCCCACTCTCTCTCACACACAGCGAGGCTGGGAGTTCAGCTGGGGCAGGGGGGGCCCTCATGGACCTAGGCCTGACTTTCCACCTTCAGCTTCAAGAATGACAGAAATGAGCTGGGCAGAAGGTGGTCGGGTCGTCCGAGCCTGGGAGGTGAAGCGAGAAGTGCCCCAGGCGCTGGCTCATCCCAGCCGACCAGCTGCTCCTGCCAGGCGCTAGCACGGACCCTCCTCCGGCCGGTCTGCTTGGCCAGCCGGTGCTTTCGGGCTCCTGAGCCCTGATGTCAGTGTTAAGGCTGGTCTCCGGAAGGAGGCCATTATACAGTCAATTTGCCATAGGCGTATGTAGACAAAAGTTAATTGACAATAAACCTGTCCCGTACCTGCTGGAGCAGCCAGCCATCTGCTCAATTAAGTCTATTCACTGCAGAGCCTTGTACCAAAGTGGCACATTTAGGATTACACGAGACCTTTCTGTTATGATGACATGCTTTTAAACGTCTCCGCTAATAAAACCTAATACAGACGGAGATCCCCTGCCTCTTGTCCTGTAATTAAATTTATTTACTATCTTGCGCACCAAGGAGGAGCGACTTTCCTTTTATCTTTCATTCACACACTCCGTCAGTAATTAACTGCCGCTGGGTTTTGAGGTTCCCAGGCAAGGGCTTTTTATTAGCCAGGAGGCACCTGTCTGCTTATCCCATGAAGAAAGGGAGAAGCCAAGTGGCCCCTGGCTTGCCTGGGTGGCTACTGTGGCCACCAGAGGACGGTAGAGGTCGTAGCCATCCGGGCGAGAGCCAGCGGAGCGGCAGGAGGGCTGAGCAGATTCCTCCCAAGGAACTCCCACCCCGGGAGGTGGGCAGGAGGGGACGGTGGTGGGGGCTTCGCCTGGCCTGGAGCAGCTGCTCTGGAGCCACCTTTCATTTTGGCTCATCTTCCCATTGCCTTTACACCTCTCCTTCCCCCAGGATGGCACCCCAGCCATCGTACAATGTAATGATAAACAAGTGCAAATAAAAAGGACCCGAGTGACTCATATTAAGGATCCGCGTAACAACAGGGTCTGCGCCATGTCCCAGATGGCCTGGGAGGAATAGCCTTCTCCGTGTTCTTGGAGAGTTCGACAGAACTCCCGGGGCCTCCTTGCTTTCCGCACGTCTCTGAAGGCCTGCTTGGTGCTTTCCTTGTTGTGACCCAAGAAGCACTGTGAAACAATTCCCCTTCTGCAGGAACCCGCAGCCTCTGGTTGCATTAAGGCGCCTTGCACGCCTCAGCAAGCTGCAGGGGGTTTCCCTTCTCTATCTCTGGCTGCAGCAGGTGGAAAAAGGTGGCAGTGGCGGTCCTGGGGGAACTGCTTGGAGCAAGCCCTTAATGTGGCAAGGAGACGTTTTCTCAAAGTGTGAATATTGCATGTTGCCACCTCTTCCCCTCCCCTGTAGGGCTTATTGCAATCCAGATGATCCTCTTTATTCCTTTGCTCACAGCTGTCATGGATCTCTGCGTAGGTAGCCTGCTCAGTCTGTGGCAGTCGCTTCCCACTTGCCTGCTAGGAAGGATCCTTTCTCAGCTGTATTTTTATGCCTTGCCTGAAGCCCAAAATGTTTGAGGGCAACTCCGCAGGGCGGGCAGCAGCTGGTCTCCAAAGAGGAACCAGTGGGTGTTGGTGGTGTTGGTGGTGGTGGAGGAAGAGGAGCACAAGCAGCAGCAGGAATGGTGGTGGTGGAGGAGGAGGAGGAGGAGGTGCACAAGCAGCAGCAGGAGGACCTTTCCTCGCTTCCTGCAAACTGCACAGAGCTGGCTGCTCACCAAGGTGGGGGCCCAACATCTGTTTTCCTCTTTAGACCAGAAAGAGAACACACCACTGCTTGCTCAATCGCTGGCTTCCTTCCTTCCTTCCTTCCTTCCTTCCTTCCTTCCTTCCTTG